TATAGTTTTGAAGTAACATGAACTTGGAGACATCAACAAATATCTTTAAGTAACAGTGAATGTCTTTTTATGTATTTTCCTACTCAAAACACCTACCTAGTGATCTATCGTCTTAAAAGTGTAATTCCATTTCAGATTTGATAGTGCATAACAGTTTTAGAGGCTGGGAGAAACTATGTTCTCTACTAGCTGTTTTCTGCTCTTCTGAGAACTTTTTTTATTAAATAGGAAAATATTACTGCCACTTTGAAAATAACCAAGGTATCTTTTTAGATAATTATTTCACTTTAATAAACAGAAAACAGTTTGGCAGAAAACTTCAGTAAGAAAACATTCATTACAAAATGAAAAATATTTTTATATTTCCTTCTTTAATTTTTATGTCAGCGATACTTAAATTACCTGCTTCTTCCTTAATACCATCTTAAAGGAAAGTTACATCTGTCCCCCTTTCTCACTACTTCCTACCTAAAGGGCTAATTAAAAAAAAAAAAAAAAATACTGGAACAGTGTTTTTTCTAGTCTTTTCTCAATATTCTATATGTAATTCTCTAGCTTGCTTCTTTTAGTCATTAGTATCAGTAGGTGCAATTTGTTAGTACTTTCAGTGTTAGACTTCTGCTGTTGCCATGTCACCCTGCCAAGATATATAAGGCAACCTTCAGTGCTTTGGTTGCCCTTTAGGACTCACCAGATATGATGGGAGTTTTTGAGTCTCTTGTCTTCACCTTCTTCAATCAAATGTAAATTTTCAAAGTGGTACAACTAAGCAACCTTTTCAGTGACTGGGAAACAGTCAAGATGTGTAAATTACTGCGCATGTAGTACTTGCAGTTATGACCTTGTTGCTATTTTCAGCACATTGATAGACATTCCAGTGCTTCCTGAAGTCTGTCCTGGAAAGTTAAACATAACTGTTAATACAGTTGAACTGCTTGTTCCAGTTCTTTTTACTTGAAGTAGTGTTGTGTCTTCAGAAACATTTTAATTTTCGTACCTAATCAATAGTACGATGCTCAACTCAGGAATAAATTAACTCTATCATTACACTTTGTCATCTGCTTATGGACTAATTTACATCATCATTTGGTGTATTTGAAGCACGGTGCTGGTGAGGTGTTTACTGTCTTACAAGCCACATAGGAAGTTGCTCCCTGCCTTTAAAACCAGAGCTTATTACTAAAACAAAGAATGCATGCTGTACTAGAAGATGCATGCCGCGGTAACCAGTTTGAAGTACCTGAGCTGGAGGTTAAGAACCTGAGGCTCCAGCAGAGCTAGAGTAGAGATTACATTAAGCAGTATTCTGCCAGAGTTGCTTAGGACTCCCCCCTGGTCTGATACAGAACTTGGCAATATTTACAATGACTTCTGTCAACGCTGCACAGAAGCTGAATGTGTTTAAATTGCAGCTCTTCAGTATGGTATTCACACACATAACCTGTGTATGGAAAAAAAAGTTGCAATCCTTTTACAAGGTCTCTGGATGCTGTTGCTGTACAAACAGTAGGTACAATCCTGCCCTGTTCGTTTTTGTTTTGGGTTTTGTTTTTTTTGTTTGTTTGTTTTTTTTTTAAAAAAAAAGGGGGGGGCGGACACCCACCACAAAACAGATGTATTTGGGAGTGCTTTACAAGGATACTAATGCTGATAAAACATAACAAGGAACAAGTTCAATTACATGTTCCTTTTGCTTGTTTTCACTGGCTGACTTGAGTGGAGTAGAACTGGCTGTTTTGAAACTGTTCACACTAGATCTGATTTCTTGAAAAAGAAGAACCAGCTAATTCCTGAAACAGGAGTCACAATTTTGTCAGTGTGGCTGACGGAAATAAATTCTCTGCAAACTTTTTTAATGCGAATTTCAAGTCTTGATGGTACATTTAAATGCACAGCTTTTAATTCATTTGGTGTAAAGGCAATAGTCAGAGACAGTCTTTTGGCGAACAGGGTGCTAAGTTATCACCACCCTAAAAAAAGGAAGAATAGGAAATAGTTATGTACTAGGAGTATTCAAGCTAAGAATTGAACTGCAAGTGCTTTTGTATATTTGGAGAATGCAGAATACAATACCTTTACCTTTAGAAACGTAAAAAAGAAAAAAATCCTCAGCACCTAATCTCAGTTCTGTGCAAGGTCAGAACAAGTTTCGATTAATTGGAGGTCAGGAGGAAAATGGCATACAAGTCAGGGTTGGTGTACAAAACAAAGCATGCTAACTAGCCTGGCAAATAATTTAGTGGAAGTCCTGTACATCTAGTATGTGAGGACTTCAGTAAGTCATTTAACACCATGGCTCAAGAAATCACTCCTTCCTTACACACTCACACCATGCCCCCCCTCCAAAAAAAAAGATAGATAACAGATTAGGAAGAAACCGTGATGACAGACATTAGTTACCTGAAGAATGCCTATAGGCTGATTTTGAGAGTAACTTAAATATTTTCACTAATGTTGGTAGGAAAAAGTAGGAGGGAGCTAACAAGAGCTATTCGTGCATATGAGCTGGAGGCAGACAGACTGTATGTAGAATTTGTTGACAAATACCGAAGTATGTGGAATCTGATCATGGTGTATGACATTTTTAATTCCATACGTCCATTTCAGACTTCAACTTCTAGCTTTTGCTGTGCTGGTGCTCTTGCAGTCCCTTGACTAAAAGATGCAAGCATGCCCTTGTTTACCTCACCAAAGCTGGTCAGGGCAACGTCTTGCTCCTTGTAAGTCTGGAAAGTGCAGCTGTCCATAGACGTCTATTCATGCGTTGTTGTCATAGGCACTGAATGACCTGAATAGGAGGGTTTTTTCTTCCAGCATTTGAGAGATGGTCCTCTAAAAATACTGAATGCAGCCTCTTCCAGTGGAAGGAATCTTTCATACTGATTGTGCTACTTGTTACTGTAGAGCAGGATGGTTTAGTGACAGTATTCTCAGGTGAAGCTGTCAAAGATAAGCACATGAAGTACGTTACAACTAATTGGTATTTCTTCCTTCTGAAAACTAAAATATCTAACAAATTAAAAAAGCCACTAAGCCTAAAATGGTTTATAGAACAGAACAATTCTGATTCAACACAGACAAAGGAAGCCAGTCAACTTCAGAAAGATGTTGCGGTGAATGAAAAATGGTAGGTAGAAATAAGTTACAAGTTTAGCTTAGTAGCATTTTAATTACATGTTCTCACTTAAACAGCATGTGTGGGATGTCAGACTTGTATTTTGCCAAGTTTGTTCTTTCTTATCAGTGATAGATGCTGAGGGCTTTTTTCAGTATGCTTGTGTGTGTATATATATATATGTATATATTTTGAAACCTTACTTTTTCTTTATCATAGGTCCAGTTGTTTACATTTTGGATCTTGCAGATCGACTGATCTCAAAGGCATGTCCATTTGCTGCAGCTGGAATAATGGTGGGCTCTATATACTGGACAGCTGTTACATATGGAGCTGTGACGGTGATGCAGGTATACATGTATTCCTTCTTCTTACCAGCTTTGAGAGTGTTTTCTAAAGAAAAAGTCCATTAATGAAGAATCCTCTTTCCTTGCCTTAAAACATGCTTTAGCTGCTTTCATGACTTTCAGTGTAGTTAGCAAGTAAATTCAAGATGGGTGGATAGAAAGTTTTTCTCTTTAATTGATGACACTGTATAAAGCCAAGTATGCCCACTTGATGTGATTCAGTCTGCAACTAACAAAATTCACTACTACTTTAGCTGGCTGCCCTTTGTTTGGCAGGCTGGTGAACCCATTTCTGTTCTTATAGAAGAGGTGCCGTTCCCACCTAACTACTAATAATGGGTAGTCTCATTCTTCAGGAAGACATGAGACTAATCTCTTCTTTTACCTGTAGAAAAATTTTGCTGGTAACATTCAAAGGGTTGAGACATGGTGACTTTTTTAGTCCTACGACTTTTTTTATTGTGTAAAGGAAAATTCATGCTCTGAATGATGCAATTTATCCATAAACAACAAATGCAAAACACTGCAAATTAATACTGTGTTCTTTTAATTACTTCAGTATGGCTAGTTGAAAGGGAAAAAAAATACTTATTTTTCCTACATCTGTCCTTGTGAACTTGCTGTTTAAATATAAAAATAATGTTGACAGGTGGTAGGCAATTAACTATGGAGAGACCTGTTCACAGCTGGGGATAGTTCAACTACAAGACAAGAGTTTTCATAGACTGTACAGCTAGAAGGGCCTTTGTGTTTTAAATTTAAACTTGTTTTTTAATTTTAAATACACAACCTAGTCCTTATCCATGTAAGTAATATGGCACTACTTTCTTTTGAATTGTGTAGTACTGCCCTACAGTTCTACAAGTCACTGCATCTAAAGATTATGTGCTGGTTTGCTTCCATTTGTACGCAGTCTCGTGGCAGAACTGTATATAACAGCTGCTTGAAGGGGAGCCCAAATGGGTTGATGCGGCCTCCCTGGTACCAGTGTGGCCAGGGTCAAGCGGCTGCGTAAGTGATGTGTAATGACTTTCAATACTTCCTCCATTCCAGTGGAAGAGTCTCTCTACTGCAGTGGTACACTTGGGAATTTCCTCACCTGATAATTTTGTTCATGTTGTAGCCCTTACAGAACATTGTAACCATCTGTAATACTGCAGCTAGACTGAGATGTGCCAGTCCTTGTCTCCTTGCTCACTGCTACACCGAGCCTTTTTCTGTAGGAACTTAATGACCTTTTTAGCTTCTCTAGAACTACATAACCAAATGGAAAGATAAATGCTCCTTTCTGTATAGTTTTGCTTTTGAAATGAGGATCTGTCTAAAAATTAGTTTAGACAGCTGGTCAAATCCCAGGTATGAAGAATTAGCTATTTTCCTCTGACTTAATAGTTTTTGATCATATGGATAGTATGCTGGGTAAGAGAATAACTTATTTTTTACTTATAATGGAGAAGATTAAACTGGGAGTGGGGGAAACTGTTCCACCCCTTTTGCCACCCCAAATTTGTTAGGTTTAATACAGCTTATTTTCTGATGCGTTTCAGGCTCCTTTTCTTCAGTTGAAGGGCCAGAGAGAAGCAGAAAAGCTATTTTTAAAGATTAAGCTTTAGATGGAGAAAAATAAATACAGAATTGACATTGTGACTCCAGTGGTAGCTAGGTCAGTAACAAATCATATGGGGTTACTGAAAATAGAAATAGTAGTCTAAAGCAGAAGAGCCAGGATACTGAGGCTTTTTTTGATGGACAAGGACAATAAGGAGAAAAACTATAGTGTTGGATGTCACACTTTGGGTGGAAGACAGTGAAGAAGCTGGAAGACAAATGCTGAATATTTTTTTTTTGCAGGAACAATCTTTTGGCGGCAACAATATTGGTTATGCCTGTTCTTAGAGGCTGTGGTATATAACGTTACTTCCTGTTCTAGAAGAATAAAAGGGAATGGTTTTCAAAGCAAGGCAAAAAAGTACAGTTTGAGGGTACTGTGGTATGTTACCCTAGCTTCTTCCCTGTGTCCTACCTATTCCAGAAGTACTGGGTTTTGTTGTGGGTGGGGTTTTTTGAAATTTTGCTCTTGTTGCATGTTCTTACCACCTAATTCTAAGTTCTGTGCAAGTGAAGACTTGATAGCTTTTTGCGTTTGTGGGGAAAACAAGAAGTCAATTAAAACACATCAGGAAATCCAGTGCCCAATAGTTGTTATTGTAACTGTTACTTTAGTGTCTTTAGTCTTCCTAGATTCTTACAGAAAAAGTCATAAAAGAGCCCATTCTTTCCAGAAGCGCTTCAAGGACTTTGTTAGCATTTAGTAATTCTTAAATTGAGACAACTCTAGAGGGTATCTACCACTTCAATTTCTTTTTTGTCCTCAGCCCTATTAAGTTATTTTTTAAAAATAAAACATACGTACTTGTTAGGAAAACATAGGGCATTGTTCTGTTACAGTTCTTTGTGTGCCAGTGGAAAGGTTTAGAGACATCAGTAATGTCTGTCCTTTAAAATCGTAGCACTAACCATGTTTAAAAATAAGGTACAAGTGAAGATATGCTACTGTTTCCCCTACAGTTGAAAATAATGTACCTCTTCCTGCGCTGTCTAGAGAAGCAATACTTCTTAGTACTGTCATCTCTGTTGCATAAGGTATTTCTGAATAACAGAAATTTTGATTACAACATCCTGAGATACTTGCTATCAATTTGTCCTTTAAAGAGTAGTATCTAATCAGCTTCTGAGTATAGAATTAATCATTCTAAAATTATAAATTCTGTGCATTTTGGAAAGCATGCTATTTTCATGTTTCAGATATTCAGGCTTTTTACTTACACAAAAGCACATGAAACTTTTCTTGAGATGCTAAGGAATTGTGTTACAGCTCTGCAAGATTAATGACTTGCAAACTAGGCCTGGTGGCTCGCCTGCATTACACTTGATAAGCAACCAAGGATGCAAAGGGAAAACTGAGTATGTTAGGTAAAACAGTATTATTTTTTTTTTAACTTAAAATGTGTGTGCAGCCCCAAACAAACTAGACTTTTTAAAAAAGTTATATTCTTTGTTCAGTTGTGGCCTTTATGTTTGTCAACTATATACGTATTTACCAGGTTGTTGGTCACAAAGAAGGTCTTGATGTCATGGAGCGAGCTGATCCTTTATTTCTTTTGATTGGACTTCCCACTATCCCAGTCATGCTAATATTGGGCAAGATGATTCGTTGGGAGGACTATGTGCTCAGACTGTGGCGCAAATACTCTAATAAGCTACAAATTTTGAACAGCATATTTCCAGGTAATGTGATTAAATTTAGAAGGAAATATCAAGCTTGAATTTGTGCCTTTAGGAGATGAGGATAGGCAAGTAGTTTTTGCCATTCTTAAAGTGCTTAACACTTTTCCTGTGTTTTATGTTCACTTTATTTAGATTGTATTTGTATAGTACCTAGTGAAAAAGGTGGGGCAAGAGGAGTAGGAGCATATTTTGAGTTAAGGCCTTAGTAACAAAACAAGCTACAGAAAATCATGGGTCTTATTTGGAAATAAAAATGAATACAGTCATTTAATGGAAACAGAATATTCACTGAGAAGAGGCATAGTTCTCAAAAAGTAATTGGGCTATAGATTTGTAATGGAGTGGGGGGTGGGCACTGATGTGCTTTCTGTGTTCTGTGTGAGGTAGTGGCTATGTAACCTTTTCTTCCCCCACTCTCATCCCTTTAGGCATTGGATGTCCTGTTCCTCGTATTCCAGCAGAGGCCAACCCTTTGGCAGATCATGTTTCTGCTACACGTATTCTGTGTGGAGCTCTAGTTTTCCCTACTATTGCCACGATAGTTGGCAAGCTGATGTTCAGCAGTGTTAACTCAAATTTACAAAGGACAATCTTGGTAAGATTCGGTATTGTTTGTTTCACAAACAATTATAATATAGGAATAAGAAGTGTTGTGTTGTGGGAGGAGGGAAGGAGGAAAAGTAGAAAGGAACATAAATTGATCTAGAAGTTATAGTGGCATTTGATTAAGGGAAGGGTTTTTTTAAAGTTGCCTGTCTTGGCAGTCGACAAGCATCACGTGTGTGAGATACTTTGTCCTTATGACTAAAACTAATCTCAATTCAAGACAAGACTGAAACTTGCCTCTGATATGGTACTAGGCAGACCTTAGCAGTAATTAAGGGTGATAAAGAAGATGAGGAACCAGCACCTTCTAAGAACAACCTCTGCAAGGGAAGATTGGGGTGTGTATTGTCAACCTTTTCATATTAGCTTCTGTTTACTAATTCTTTGAGAGAATCCCTTTGTTGCTTATTTTAATGAGGAGAGGAAAAATAAAGTCTCCATAGAAGCTGAATGGAGAGGGGCGGACAAAGAGAGGAGACAATCTCTTCCTTTGTGAATAACCTCTCTGGCTTGCAGCCTTTCAAGGGGAAGCACACTGAGCTTGTAAGACAGTATCCCTGATCATCTGACTGTCACTTCAGCCCGTTTTCAATTCCAACATATTTATGCACTCCTCTCTTCCGTGTGGAAGAAACAGTGGTATTACAACTGTTCATCCAGACTAAAGACTACTTACTGTCTCGTCTTATTTTGAAGACTTGAGATACACATACTGTAAAACTTTGTGGAAAAAAAATGTTTTACAGAAAAACAGATTTTCTTTCACTCCACACTTGCTTTTGGCAAGTGGTCTTTTTCACAGTCTGATTATAGAATGGTAATCAGTATTACTCCTTGTGCTGTGTACAGTATATATTCAGAGAAGGATGGAAAGCAGATACTTATCTACATTTTACTTTGTTCTTTAAATAGGATGTATTTTGATTCTTTTTTTTTTTTTAGAATATTTGTCAGACTTCCAAGCAAATAAAAGCTTTCAAAAGGTTTTATAGATCCACTGTGTAATCCCTTTAAGTAACATTAACCTCTGTAATAGTGCATTGTGACAAAAAACTTTGAGATACTCATTTGGAATTGCCCTAATTAGCTAAACTTCAGAAGAAAATGCTGTAGGATTGGAAAACAAATCTTCTTTGGCCAGGAATTTTTAAAGAGAACATTTGCAATGGTATGACACTGAACTGTGCAGGTTTTCAAAATATCTTTTTTATTTCAGGGTGGAATCGCGTTTGTTGCTATAAAAGGAGCTTTTAAGGTTTACTTCAAACAGCAGCAATATTTGCGCCAAGCTCACCGCAAAATTTTAAATTATCCTGAGCAAGAAGGAGCATAAGGCTGTGATCTCCAGATGTCGTACAGTCTCACCTAACAGGTTTCCATGTTGTATTGGTTCCATCGTTATTGCACAGTAGTGGAGAATTGTGATAAGTTGCTGCTCCTATTTTTTGTTTTTCTTTAAATATAATAAAGCACTGTCTTGTGGCAGGGTAGATCCTTTCAGCAAGCACTGAACCTAAGAATGTGACTTGGCTTTCATTATTTTTGGCTATATGTTGGGCAACAGGCTTCTGAATGATTTTCTTTGAGCCAATATGCTGAATGGAAAAAAGAAAAACATCAACTACAGAACAAGAACACTTTAAATGGTGTAGTTAATGTAGGCTATATCCAAATGCCTTTTTTATATGTGTTTTCATGCACACACTATCATCCAGTTCAGCATTTCACACAATGAAGAGAATTTTTTTTAGAAAGGAGAAGTAATTGTGGGACATCAGTCGATAAAGATTTCCTTGGGTTTTGCTGGTATCAAACAGGGAGTGTAGAATACTCAAGTGACTGGTCAGAGAAAGCAGAAGATAGATCACTTTCTACAGGACTCGTGCGTCAGCTTTAGCCGCCTAAGTACTAGGTGTTGAAATGAGCATGGCTTCCAGGTGACAGTTTTATTACTGGTAATTTTTGCTGTCCTGTTTTATCTTCTGCAGTGCCTAGTGATATTTTCTCATGGCTCTTTCACTGTTTTGTAATGGGTGCTGGATAGCATTTGTTTTCCTCCACAGTAAAATAATTACATGAGGGGAAGTAAATTTCAGTTGCTTGTTTTGTAGTTAAGTATTAGAGCACTTGTTTAGGTTTTCATGTTCTTTTTGATTATGTAAATACCCCTACAAGTACAAAGAGCAGTAGAAGCGTGGGGAAACAACATTGGACACTAAAGCTACATTTAAACTGACAGATTAGGGCACCCCCCTAAACTTCCAGATCCAGGTGCACAACTCTGCTCTGTACCAGGATTGGGTGCTCTCCTGCCTGTACCAGCTCTAGTGGAAGGATTGGCTGGAAGGGGGCAGCGCTACACCCTGGGTACCTCATCCGGGCGTGGTATGTGCAGGCGAGCTGGGCACTCTTAAGACAACGTGGCTCCATTCTGTAAAGGACTAAAGGATAAATCTTAAATGTGTAATAAACTGCTTATACAGTAAGCTTTACAGTGACAGCATCTTCAAAGTAGCCAGCTGAGGGAGACATTAGCACTTCAGTTAACCAATTTATTTATAAACTTAATTTCAACAGAAAGGAACTGTTTTGCGGAGTCAAATTTTGACAAACGTAAGACAGCCATTTAATATTCATGCCAGACTTAACCTAGATTTAGTACTTGAAGTTTTTTCTTAACATCAATTTATTTGTTTTTCTCAAAGTGTTTCTTTTGTTCATATTAGTATGTCAAATGCATGGAGAAAGGTTTAAAAAAAATCTTTTAGTGGAAGTATTCATAAGTAAATATTTCTTTTCACCAGAAATGAAATAAATGCAGAATGGACTTCATATTTGACTGCAATAATGTATGTTAGAGAAATTAAAATTGGTACCTTTTATATAGTATGCTTATCTTAATTACTGAGATGTAATATTTTAGAACTGTACAAAAGTGTATATAATGGCCAACTAGTATTCAAAAACTATACAGGTATTGAAAATTATACATTCAGTCAATATCAAATACTTTTGAGGTTCTTGCTGTAATGGACGAATTACTATAATCTTGTAAGTCTGCTGATTATATTTGTCTTAGTGGGCACACTTTTATATAAAACTCTAAATAAGTAGCAACCTCTGAAAGTTGCTGCTTTCTGTAAGATAGTCTTGAAACAATATAATATGTATTTCTTACAGAATTCCTCATTTCGAGAAAACAGCTTTTCAGTGGTCTTCACTGTATATATTTCCAACCAATTTATTACTGTTTTTTAAAGTCTCGTGAAAAATTGAATGATACAAATTAGTGGGTTTGAAACTTGTTCCATGGGAAAGCTCATTGTCTTCTCTGGAAGTTAAAGCTATTGTAAAAATAGTTATAAGAATACTGTATGGATTATAAAATGATTTCACCTGAGTGGCAGAAGGTAATAACTCTGTTGTAAATCTTGTTTTTAAGTATTGCAAATTATAGTTACGTTGAATTAGGTTGAATAAATATTTTTTACACTCCCTAGTGTATTTTGTCAGTTGAACAAAAGCCTGTAGCAGAACTTCTGAATGAAAAATGTGTTTTATTTTAATGCATACCTAAGGATTTATGTAATCAATTTTAAGTTGATAGCCTAACAAAATACCTTGGGGATGAAGGAAGAATTGCTATAAGACTTTAAACTTAAATTTCTTTTTTTTTTTTTCCTTTCTAGTGATCAATAAATGTAAGAGAATACATTTCTCAAACATTTAAAGCAAAAGAACTGTTGCAACACGAACAACTTCTGGTAATACAGAAACAGGGTTGGAAGTTACTATATAATTCTGGGTTGGCTGCTGTGCAGCATTTATTTGGGGAATACACTGATCCCTCTTCATGGAGAAAGGTAATAATGGCTGTAGGAAGTATTTTTTTCACTTGTACCTAATTTATGTCCTGTTACTTTCAGAACAAGGAATATGAAATGTTATCTAGAATTTCTCAGTGTACCATCTTACCTGTAACTTGGTTTCTCTTAGTCTTCCATTCCGTCAACATAAAGGCACAAATTATCTGAGCTGCGATTATGTCAATAATATGAGATGCTTCTCCCCTTCTGTCTCCCCTCCCATCTCAAACTCTTAGATTTAGATGGAGCCCTACTGTACTTCCTACCTTTTTTTGTTTGAATGGCGGTTCTTTCCTTCATCTTCTTTCCACCGCAAAAGGCTTTCTTTGTAACAATTTGCATGAATTGCCTGGTTTGAAATATTTTAATTCCTTCCTCATCTGGAGTTGTTTCTCAAAGGTTAGCTGTCCCTTAGTTACCAGAGAAGGATCCAACCATGTAGCTGTTGAGGCCTCCCCAGCATTTAGAGTAGTTCTTCGCTTGTAAGAAGAGATACGCTGAGGTGTTGTGACTTCAGTCAGAATTACTATTTTAATTGAGGACACAATTTTTACTAGAATTTCAGCTGCATAATGTTTATTGTGGCAGCAGTGAGGATTTCCCTTTTTTTAAATGTGTAATGTGGAACTCGGACAAGTTTATGGAGTGAGTGTTTGAGGGTTGCTTGAAATAGGCTTTTACTAGCTGCTTTTCTAAAAAGTTTTTAACCACAGACAAGTAAGTCTCTTTGTTTGCATAGTGGTTTTTACTGATGGAGAGAACCAGGGGAAGGCGAACTACAAAGGTCATGGATCCATTTCCTGTTGCACCAGTAATTATGCTTTTGGAACCCTATATTTAATGTTCTACATCCATGCCACGTTCTCTTTGTGGTTTGTTTTTTGAAGAACTAGGATCAAATTTGTTTAATGCATCACCGACTACAGTCACGTTATCTGTTCTCATAAGAAATGCTGTGCTAACAATTCCTGCTCCCCATTTTAAAGTACAAAAGCCAGTTTCAGTAACAAGTCTCGGTTTGGAATTCTTCTCTAGTAGGCAACTGCTGCTGAAACTTGATGTGGTTTTAGGTTGTTGGTTTTGTTTTCATGTTTGGGTGGGTTGGTTTGTTTTGGAGCATGCTGGGGTGGGGTTTGTCAGAGGAAAGCATGAGATAGGACCATAGGCAAAAGCTAGGAAGTTCTGAAAAACAGTCTTAGCAGTTGTCCTCTCGCTAACAGGCCACTTCCCCTGCACCCTTGCAAAGTCATCACTCTGTTCTACATAGTGTGAAACAGAGCTCACTAGCCAAACCCAAAAAGTAGTTGAGTATTCATTAGTTCTTGCGCAGGTTGAGAATAAGTTCTGGTTTTGAAGGGTGATTCAAACAGAACTGATTGTATTTTGGATTGTGAGTGTTATTCATCACCTTAATTTTCCTATTTTTCCCACAAAAGATGGGGACATGGGGCTACTTGATTGGGATGGTACTTGTTAGATTGAAAGAAACTTCAAGGAGGCTGACAGTTAACTAGTGTATTAGCCTGCGAGAGGAACTGTTCATGGAAACCAGCCTCTGTCCTGAATCTTCAGCAGTTTTTATTAATTCCAGTATGTTTGTGTGCGGGGGTATATAAATAAAAAAACTGTACTAGGAGTGTCCTTGGCTATAGTTAAGTACATACATGTAAATAGCAATATATTGGAAAATGGTTCTTGCCAGGATTGAGGCACCAGTTTAATCCATCACACTACTACACGCTGTAAGGATCAACTACAGTTTTGTCAACTAATCTGAATTTGATGCAGGCAGTATTTAAGATGACCTGAAAACATTAAGGTTGTGCAGTGTTAATTGTCTACTTCCTTCTTCACTAATGTAAATAGATTATTTTAACATTTGAGGAATTCAGCTGTTGCCATCTTGCTTACTTTTGGCTCCACTTCCCTAAACTGAGACCTTCGACTTTTCATTTACCGTGACTTATGGACAACTTATTCTTACTGTTTCTACCTGGGTTTTCTGGGGAAAAAACTTCAAATGCTTCAAGAAACCACACATGCTCTTTGATATTTAACTTAATGAGGTAAATAAGTACTGTTCTCATATGTACTCGGAATATACCACTGAATCTGGTGGTACCTCATCCTCCTTATCCTCAGCCTCTCAGTACCTGAACTACCATCTTCTAACCCTGTTGACTGAAAACACACGGCTTCTCCCAATAGTCTCTCACACTTGTTGTGATTTGGGGAAAGATTCTCACTTTAATCTGTTTCAATAAATTCCAGCATAATCTGGAATTATTCTTGTAGGCATAATTCTTGTAGGCACCGAGGCAGACTTCTTTCTTCATTGCTGTTTAGCAGGTTGCTCTGTTGGAATGATCCAAAGTTTGCCCAGCATTTCAACCATTCAAATTCTGCTTTACTAATTTATGGAAGTCCAGGGTAGGCTTTATGAATTCATTTCAAGGCCTTATTCAAGAGCTTGAGTAATACAGCTCACTTTCCAGAAAGGCAAGTCACATGACATGTGTGCAAAGAGAACATTACTGCGAGTGGAAAACAAGCAAAAAAACTTCTGTAGGCAGGGCTGGACTACCTCTGTTAGATCATGGCCCCTCTATACCTCAAGAAGGTTTGAAGTTCTGTGGCCTCTTTGTCCATTCTTGCCAGTTAGTTATTCACATGCTCTGGATATTTAATTGCTTTTGCACCTCTGAATAGTGTGAGCATAAAGCAGTTTTTCTGATTG